GCAGGGCTCCCTCAAAAAAACCCTAATCCTACCGCCACCTCTCCTGACTTGCCGCTGTGCTCCCTGCCGGTGGTGGCACTGCAAAAGGAAAGGCCTGACATGTGCTCGTTCGTGAGCTCCATCCAAGTCTTAACCACGGGGCCCACCTGGTGCCGGTGCTCAGAATTCAGAGTTTGGGGCTTGGGGTTACGAGGTTTCGGTGAAGGGCTTAGTTAGGCTTTGAAATTTGGGGTTGAGTATTGGGGGTTGAAGATGTGGCCTGGGGCTTGCCTCAAGGCATCATGCCGTAACAGGGGTATCAAAAGGGGAAGTATAGGAGTTAAGGGTTTAGGGTTAAAGGTTAAGAGTTTAGGGTTAAAGGTTAAGGGTTTAGGGTTCAGGATAGAATTTAGTCTTTAGGGCTTAGATATAGAGACAGTCCCTTCTGGGGCTACTGTAAGGGGGGGTACTACAAGGGGTACTGCAAGGGAAGTACGACAAGGTGGTACTACAAGGGGAGCCGTTGGCAAACGGACACAACTCAATAAATCCTTCCATGCCCAAAGAACGGAAAGGCCTTGGACATTGAGTCATTCTTCTTGTGCGGCACCACCTCGCACAAGGAGCAAAGAGAGAACACAGCCCCATGCTTCTTAGGGTTTAAAGGCTTAGGGCTTAAAGGTCTAAAAGTGTAGGGTTGAAAAGTTTAAAGGTTTAAGGGTATCCCAGCGCTCAGACACCAAGCCTTGCCATCGTTTTCCGTGGGCCGCAAGCCTCCGAAGCAAAGCTGAGCTGAGAACTCTGCTCCTTTTCGCATCTTGAGCTGCTCGATCGCCATTCTTTTTTGGCTCAGGGTTTGGGGTTTCAGATGCTTACGGTCGGGGCTTCGGATCGGCTCGGGACTGGAGTCCGATCAGCTGGACGACGCCCGAAACTTCGCAGCCAGTAGGTGCCAGACTGCCCTCCAGGCGTTCCAACCTGTCCTGGAGCCAGAAGACCTGGAAAGCCACCGGTGGAGTTTCTCGCGATCGTGGAAAAGCAGCAAAAGGATTCAGGCTACATGGATGCAAAATGGCATTGCCATCAACTCCAAAACCAGAAACCCAGTGCCACATCCGAGGTAGCAACGATGCGCTTGTTCTGATACCTTGGCTGAGTGTGAAAGGCACTACATGGGAGTGCCCGAGACCTCTGGCTATGGGGCCATTGCAGCTTTTCGACTGCTGCCGATTCCGAGTGGCATCAGGGTGGCCATGTCAATGGCCTTCGCTTGTCCCCGCAGGCGCAAGCAGCCTTGCATGAACTCCTGGAGCAAGTCACTGGACACTTGAAGCTTGCTTTCCAACCGCCTGCTTGCCTGCGAGCTGAGAGCGCTATCAGACCCTTCCCACCGCTTTCCAAAACACAGAAAACCTGAAAAACACCAGAAAGCCGAACCCAAAACTCGGGTAGCTTCCCTCGGGTCCTGCAGGCTCACACTGCCTGACTCATCGGCGTCCAAGAGGCCGAAAAGACCTCGTGCCTGTCGGAGCTGTCAAGGGGCTGAAAGAGGGCTTTGGAAATTTTTGGGGACCCTTGCCCATTGAGGTTTTCAAGTGAACTGATTGCTCAGCGTTTCCGGGAAGGTCGGCGAGACTTCGCATTCAAAAAAACCTAGGCTCCATTGCTGCCGAATGTAGAGCGGAAGCACAGGACCATACAGGACCAAAGGTCGGCTGAAGCTGCAGGGCCTCATTGTCTGCCTGTTACATGTGGCAAAGATCAACCGCGCCTCGCTCGCATTGATGCCAAGACTGCCGAAGTACTTCAAATTTGATGGCTCCTCCAGCCTTCTGCGATCGCAGACAACTTGACACAGAGTGGGCATGGTCGGGAAGACAGCAAGGCTAATCCTCTGACGGGTCTCCCCCTGATGATCCTTATTCTTACGCTTACCACATTTTTGCAACCTCTGGCAGACTCTAGCCTCGCACGCTGACAGATGACACCACTTTCGCTGCGTTGTGCCGACACTGTCCGGACGTGGCTCACTGTCGGCTGTTACTGCTAGATCCCTGCTGTCCATCGTCAGTGGATCTTTGCTTCGTGATGCTTCTTGCAAAGCCATTTGTTCCGTCAGGCAGGAGTACTCTTGCCACTACTCACTACTCTTGTCATTTCGGGCATATTATGGATGTTGCTCCATTGCCGCTTCTAGAACTGCGACTTCTGTACTGCGAAACTATCGGTACCATAGCGACTGTTATTTATCGTTATCCCTTCTCCATTGACGACTACCAACCATCTCACCATGCAGCCTATTTTTTAGAGATTGCTCGCCTTGACATTACTGTTGATTAGGGCTAGAAGCGTGGGGCAATTAGGGTCTAGGCTACGACGTTGCGTGCTTGTTGCTCGGCCCGTGCCACTCGTTCGTGTGCCCAGACGTAGACACGTTACCGGGGCCGCCGCGTCTTGGAAAACTCGCCCCAGGTGAGGACACCTCGGATATTCAATGCTGTGGTACTGGTAGGAAGAGCTCAGGAGACAGTCTCAATGAGTTGCTCCGCGGTACTTGTAGCAATACAAGGGTCATGATCACCGCAACATCTGAACATAGCCCTGGTACGATAATAGCGAGAACGATACAAAACAAACCAGACTAAAAGCGACCCTAAGCCACACACATAGCCCATCTCAGTACGGCCAGCAATATGCAGCAAAAACAGAATTGGAACCAACCTTGAGCATCACTACAACAAACTAAGCAAAGGCACCCCCCTTCAGAAAAACAAGAAAAAAAAAACTAATCCTCCTTGCCATCGCCAGCGGCCGCTTTGGTCGTGATCAGCCACCTGGAAGATCTTCTTCACCGAGCTGATCACCTTTTCTAAAGGGCTACAGCTTAAGGCTCTTGTAAAGTGTCTTTAGACTTCTTATCTCTAGGGCTGCGTCGTTTTCTGTTGGCGCGTGAAATTTTCTGGCCGATCTCTTTTCAGGGGGAATTTGGGTTTTAGGGTTCTCCGTCTTCAGGATCGTTTGCGGTGTTTTTCCGTTCGAAACTGTAGTGTTTCGAGCTGGGGGCCTTCGATTTTGGGGTCGTTGGGAGACCAGTGCTCATGGCCGGCATCGCTGATACTTACGACAGCTGCAGAACACTTGAGACAGCCTGAAGCCTACCCGAAACCCGAAACCTTCAACCCCAAAACCCTCGATTCCTAAACCCTCTGCCCACATCTCTCAAACCCTGAAACCCTGTCGCCGGAGCTCATCATCCGCTGAGTTGTGGACCTCCTTCTCACGGTCCTGTCAGGGGATCTTCCGAACATCCGTGTTGCTGAGAACTTACCACTTCTTCGTATGATGTGTCACAGGAACCTCCCTCATTCCAGGCAATTGCAGACTATTCCTTGTTGAAGACATTTTGGGCCAAATACTATCCTTATAGCTAGCCTGTTTGAGAGTATTATTATTGCTCCTCTTCTCAGAATTCTTATTACCATTCTTATCATTATTATGACTAGTATTATTATTTTTTGATAGTAGTAGTAGTAGTAGTAGAAGAAGTAATAATAGTAGTAGTAGTAGTAGTAGTAGTAGTAGTAGCAGCAGAGGCAGTAGTAGTAGTTGCAGTAGCAGTAGCAGTAACAGCAGCAGTAGCAGCAGCAGTAGGAGTAGGAGTAGGAGTAGGAGTAGGCGTAGGCGTAGGCGTAGGAGTAGGAGTAGGAGTAGGAGTAGGAGTAGGAGTAGGAGTAGGAGTAGGAGTAGGAGTAGGAGTAGGAGTAGTAG